AACACTCAGCGGGCGATTGCAATGAAATAATGGCAGGGCTTACCCGGCGTATGCGCAATTTTGATTCACGCTGCACACATACGCAGCGCTGTCACTACGTGTTTTTGACCCTAATTGCGCTGATTAACCCATTTCTTTCTATTTCGTATGCCACTGGGCACTTCAGGCACTCGACCCTAGAGTTCACCCACCCCCTTAACCCGATAAGCCCCCACTTTTCGGCCACCCCCCATGGCGGAAGCTCCCCAGATAAGGGGCCACGAAAAGTGGCAAAAACAAACCATAGTAGACCAAGTGCAAACGGACGACGGACAGACAGACAGACAAGCGCAGCATGCTGGCTCACAGGAGGGGCTTTAGCGGGTTAACCCTTTGTCAAAGGCCTCAATTTCGACTTATATCTGGGTCAGCCTTGAAAGTTTTTGTCAACTAAATGCCTTAGTTTATATTACTTTTTGATTCAAATTAATTATATTTATTTGAATGGCTAATTACAATTTATAGCTAACTAACTGCACTGGATATCAGTCCTAAAAGGGTTAATTTGGCATGGAAATGGGCATGTAGCTCAAAGGCCCTGCCTTTGGCTAATAGCCACAAACCACGTTTGGCTTTAAGCCACACTTTCTTGAGGATTAAAGGTCTGATAGTTTTAAGAAGGCATGGCGAAAGCTGAATGGGTGTGGACGGGAATCGAACATACACCAATTTAATCTGCTTATGCTTAACTAATTTACTGGAAGAAATGGGAGAAACTCAAATATAATAAGCCGATTTTCGGAAAGTGTTAGGCCTTCAATTAATAACAAATTTAACTGATATTTTTTTCACCACTTTTATACGATTATTTGGGTTACGTGCGTGCTTACTAGTAAAAATGCATCACGCGTTCATCTCTAATTTAAAGAAATTAAAAGTAACATACAACCTGTTGTATAACAGTCTACCAAAAACTCGCCGCTGTTATACTCACTCACAATTAAAGCGCCCTCTGGCCCTCACAATTCACAACTGCATGCTTTGCGCGCAAATTTCAAAGTGATAATTCCTGGAAAGCCCATAGGCTACGAAATCCCCGCCTTATTGCGCATTTGGCGCCATTGAAAGATAAAAATTCCAGTAATTTCAGTTCTTTTTCGTCGTGTATTAAGTATATTTAAAATTGATGGTCTTTGTTCAATAATATTGCCTTTTTTGATGCAAAAATAAGCTTTGCTTAAATAATAATCATTACATGTTAAAATATTTGTTTTTCTTGAATGCATTTGCGTTTCGGGGCCTTGTTCGGTTACGGATTACATAAAAATAAACAAATAATAAGCGTAAATTGTGTACCTAGCAGAAGTTTTCAACTTTCAACTCTTAAACTTTAGTTCTTAAACATGTACTTTTATGTGGATGAAATTAATGAGCGTGTTTGTTTTTGTGTGATATTTGTTTTTTTTGTTTTTAGCCATTTTTTGTTCTGCTTATCATCTACAAATGATTAAGGGGTCTGATTTCAGGATCGGCCTCTTAAATTTAAGTGACATGGTTCCTCACGTTTTTAGATTATAATGCACATTTTTCGTTTTGCTTGTTCGATGGTTATCTTTAAAATTTGAACTAGAGTGCTTAAATAATTGAACTAAAGCCGAATCCATAAAAACAATAATAACTAAATAAAAGCGTTAAATTCCAAATGAAATTGTCTGTTTTGCATGAATGAGAGTGTTGGGTGTGTGTGTCTGCGTGTGCGAGAAACTTAGTCTACGGATTAACAAATGAAAATCAACAAAAATCAACTTAAAAGCAGCGTGAAATAAATACCCCTATACGTCTACATATATACAATACGATAACACCCAAATTTAGATAACGAACTGTACGATCAGATCATCCTACAGCATCAGTCGCGAGCGCGACTTCTTGAGTCGCCCGGTGGCACCGCCCAGGCCATCGCCGTTCCAGGACTTGGACTTGGCGCGGAAGTGGCGGTAGGCCTCGTTGTAGGCGGGGTCCAGCATGGTGCGGTAGGCATGAGGTTCGCACAGCTCAACGTGCGACTCGAAGAACTCCTTGTAGCCGTTGTGCAGCAGATAGATCTCGGGATAGTGCAGCGCCGGATAGGCATTGGTATTCCGCTCGCGATCCAGATTCCGCAGGAAGCGGGACATTTTGGGTCCACGCTCCGAGGAGAACTCGCAGTGGAAGATGATGATGTTGCGCTTGTGTCCCGATTCGGCGTTCTGCTGCTGCTGCAGCTCAGTCTGTTGAACGGTGAGGAACTCATCGAGGATCTGCTCGGTGGTGTACAGGTTCTTGGCTCCATCGATGTGGCCGCCCTCAAATTCGTAGGGGTAGCGGCAGTCGATGATGCGATAGCTGGCCACCTTGTCGCTGAACTCGCCCTTCAGCAGGCGAGCCACTGTTTCGCTGGAGATGCTCTTCAGATCCCGATGACGACCCTCCATCAGGGGCAGGGCATAGGCTTTGCTGAAGTCACCGATCAGCTCGGGCTCGTTGCGGTTCTCGGAGCGGGCCAGGGCGGACATGATCTCGGCGTCGTTCAGGGACATGCACTTCCTCAGTGGAGGGGGGTGGCTGGTCGTGACCTGGCTGAGTTGGCTGGGTGCGGGGCAGTTCTCCTTCTCAACGGCGGCGCAGCGATGGCGTTTGCTCTGGATGGGCGAGCAGTTGGCCGATGCTGGCGGTTCCGGGCGCTTGAAGCAATCCCGGGCAGTCTCTGGGGTCTTTGGTGGTGGGGTGGTGGTGCTGGTGTTGCTCTCCGTCATGCTGAGGCACCTTCTGACCGAAGGGCGGCGCATGGACAGACCCGCTGGCGACTTGGCTGCAGGCTGCTCCTTAATCTGCCCGCTGATCAGCGAGTTCAGGCCACTGGGGAAGCCCAGGGCGGTCTGTTGGCTCTGCGACTCCATCTCGAAGAGCTCCATGTACTCATCGTCCATGGAGGATTCCATGGAGCAGGTGGAGGACAGGCTGTTGAAGATGCGGAAGCTGCGCGCCGGCGTGTGATCACTCGATACTCCCACTGCTGGCAGGACCTTCGGCTGGCGGACGATCTGGAAGCGCAGGGGCGAACCCTCCGGCGAGAGCAGACCCATCAGCTCCGGACTGGCCGATCGCTGCTGATCCTGGGGCACAGCGTCGTCGTCGTAGAACGACAGCTCCTCCTGGTCCATGCTCATCAGTTCCAGGGAACGGCGAGCACGACGAGATCCAATCATTTTGTTGATGTTACTCGAACTGCTGGTGTTATTACTGCAAGAGCAAACAAAGAGAGGGGGAGGATTAGTCAACTGTTCGGCATCGAGGAAGAGAGCTGCTTTTGCTTCCCTAAACTCTCCAAAGAGCGGGTCATTAAACCCAGCTAAAAATACTGACAAACTGGTGGTGGTGGTGATGGTGGCGTTGGTGGTGTAAAAACAACAAGAACACACGACAACACACAGAGGGGTTGTTGTAAATGGGTGAGAGGGAGCTGAGCTAGAAATTTACTTTAAAGTAGCCCCGAAAACTGGAATTTTTGGGATAGGACTTCTGCAACATATTAATGATAGTGTAAACCAATTTATATACTTTTTAGAGCACGGCCCATTGTAGAATTCCTTAAAAACGCGAGAAGCCCCACCGCTTTTTCTTCTTCTTGACTCTACTTAAGCATTTGCGGTACTCCAAACGGAATTCCCTTTTGCTTTTCGCTGCATCTGCTTTTCAGCTTGACTTTTGGGTCACACGTCACGCAAGCGCAGCGATAATACAACAACAGAAAACAGCACAAAGAACCGCAAAGAACACGGGGGAAAAAGGAAAAAAAATTCGAAAAAATGACTGACTGAATGACGGACGGACAAACATTTTTTGTTGCAGCGTTTTTTTTTGGAGCCTCGCGGAAGCCGGTTTAATGAATGAAAAACGGCAAGCGAGCAGCAACAACAACAGCTGAGCGCCAAAATAAAAATCGGGCAAAAAGCAAACGTGACGAGCGTGATAAAAAGAACTCTTACTTTTGTTGGCCCCATCGTTTTCATATCTGTTATTTTTTGTTATTCGCTTTTCTGTTTTTACGCTGTTGCTGTTGCTCTTGAACTTGCACTTTTCATCGCGTATTTTCAACTGGTATTCCTGGTGCAAAAAGGGCTTTTGCTGTTGCTAATCCTTGGGCGGTATAATTACCTGATATTGCAATCCATGCTGCAGTTGTTTTCCTCCACAATGGTTTCCCACAGCATTTTGTTGGTTTTTTGTGTTGTGTGTTGCGTTGGTTGCGCTCGAAGAGCCGAAGATGTTCGATTTCGCTGGCGAGTTTGGATGCCGAAGAAATTGCTAAAACACAATTTATTCCTGGTCACTCTGCACTCATTTACAGTTTGTTGAGAATTTTGGATGGTAGTCCTTGGTTTTTGGCTAGTATTGCATTTTAGTTGATTTCGTTTTTTGTGTTTGTTAATGTGTCCGTTTGAGCATGATTTTTGTTTTGTTGTTTTATTTTGTATTTCGGAGTGTGGTTGTGCGAGGCTTTTCTTTTTGTCAATAATTTGTACCGCACAATCTCAAGTCAAGTCACCGAACGAGGAACCGAAAGGTTCAAGAAGAACAAGAAGAGCTGTTGACTCGACGACGAACTGGAAACGAATGTGCTGCCTCTCTCTGAGCAGCTGGTTTTTATAACTGCACCCCGGCCGACGATCGCGAGAGCGAGAGTGCGAGAGCGGCGCACAGCTGATGGGCGTGCGAGAGAGATGGTGCATTTGGTAAGGGCGCCTTTTTCTTAGTTCTTAGAGTTCTTGGCTGCTTTCCTTTGCCTTCCTTTTCCTATCCTTTGCTTCTTTGATTCCATTCCCAAGAAGTGGCAATAGAAGAGCGAGGGAGATGGGCAACGGGCGACGGGTGACGGGCGACACCAACACACATAACGGGGCCAGAGGCATGTGACCAAGGAACAGCGATGCGAAAAGGAAAACTGGGAAAAACGGGGAAAATGGGAGAACCAGGATCATATGCAGTCAGTTGTCGGAAACTCTGCTCATGTGGAGCGCCAGAATCTCTGCAACAGGTAGAATCCTTTCCCCTGCACTTCCCCTACGTCAAAATCCCGCACCGAATACCAAAGTCCCGAGAAACGAGGAGAATCTGGCGCCTTGGTGGTCGCCCGCTCTATGGAGGCCACTGATTTTGGCGCGCGAGCTTTTATACCGCGACGCGTACCGCCGAAGTGGAGCCGAAGTCGCCACAATTGGAGCCGAAGTGGAGGCGATACGGCCGCCGAACACATGTGAAAATGGTGCGGAGCCCCAAGAAGCGAAGAGGAAGCCGAAGAACTGCGCGAATCTTTAAGCAGAATTTCAAGGCGGCATCGATTGTGTCGTTTGCAGGTAATAATGTGAGATCCACGCATTCCTGTAGCCCCCTGCAGCCCCTCGTAAGCCCCCTTGGAAACTACATATCAGCAGGTAGTGGCCGCAGTCATATGATCGCCGCACCGGCGGGATGGGCGGTTGTGGAGGGGGCGTGGCTCCTTTGTGTTCTGCAGACGTAGACGCCAATGTCGTTAAATGAGCAAAGCTTCCAGCCACAGAGATCCATGCACAGAGCGCACTCAACAAAATGAACTGCGTGTCTTCATCGAGTAACCTTGTAAACACAGGTATTAAATACTTTAATACTAGAAAACATACTAGTAAGTTCAACATGTGCTAGTAAATACTAGCAAATTAATGGTATCGGCCAGATAATCGATAATGTGTAGATCAGAGTAGTTTGCCCCGCCGGAGCTCCACTGTATCCCCTCGTTTGTGTGCAATCGCGGCAAAGTTAAAGCAGAAATCGAGTTACATATGCGCCGTGGCCCTGCGGGAGTCATTGCGGAGGATCCAAGGGGATTTCGGGGGGGATGCGAACACCCATGGGCTGTGCTGTGCAGTTCGAGTGTGTTTTGTAAGGTCCGCCGCGGCAAGCAAATGAAGGAAGGCCCAGTGCAAGCAGGCCATATCATTCACACCGCTTACGAGCCAGGCAAAAGTAAATGATTTGTGGAGCAGGCACAGTCGAAGCCACCAAATGAGCTACGGTTTCATTCCGCTGAATTCCTTTGGCCAGCTTTTGTTGTTGCTGCAGGAAGAGCCGAGAGGATCATCTTTATGGAAAACAACCAGCACAAAACGACGAGAAGGACGCAGAAATCATAAAGTGGTTTTGAACAAGTTAAAAAAGCGCATAGGGGAAAAAGGAAGGAAAAAGCTCAGAACCAATCTCATTCATAGCGATCCGTGCGCACAGTGGGGCGAAATACATTCTTGGTAAGTGACATTCCACTGTAAGCATCATTATTTTAGTCAGTGAAAACACTACTACCATTTGAAAGACTTCGAATTTAATTATGTTTCGAACTCAGTACTACAAAAAACCATGTGTTGTATGGCAATTTCCATGGTGACTGGGTTAGCTCAGTCATTATAAATCATTATTTCTTATAATAGAAAAGTTTGTCCGCCAATTTCTTATCCAGTTTTTATGTTTCAACTCTTTCCAATTATAACTCCGAAATTATGGATTTCAGATAATACCACCGTGATATCGCTGGGCTCCAGCAAATCGGAGAGCAGAAAAAGGGCAAAGCGGAGGAATCAAAAGCGTATGCAAAAGCACACACACGTGTGTGCGCATCTGTGTGTGTGGGTAAATTTGATAAAGAATGAGAATAGGCTGAGGAGAAAGAAATTGCAGCAACAATGTGAATGGGAATGGGGCACAACAATAGCGGGGGACCTCAAAAACAGCAAAACCAAGATGAAGAAAAAAAATCACAGGACCAGCAAAAAGTGAAGAGCTAAATTGTAAATCGAAATTCCAAGAAGTGAGCTTTGAGCATCGGTTCTTATTTTATTTTTGTTTTTTTTGTTTTTTCTGTGTTCTCGGTCGTCTGTGCATTAAAAAGCCTGCGAAGTGTGCGAAAAAAAAGCGTTTGAGATACTTTTGCGCGCGCGCGCTTTTCGCAAATCACTGCCAAAAGGGTTAAGGGTGGTGCGGTGGGCAGGCATGGGTTAAAGGCTGGGCGGTCCCAGTTTTCGCGTGTGTGTTTGTGTGGTAGACAATGCAATGCAATTAGAAGGAGGCGCAAAGAGGAGCCAGCAATTGGATGTCTAGGTGAGAGATTCAAAAAGCGCAACTTTTCAACATCGCTTTAACCCCTATTGAAATGCAATTTACTTATAATTAAATTATTAATTTCAGATAGACATGCATAGTAAAATATGGTAAGTGCATATAATCAAGCAATATTGCAATTATTTTAGCTTATTGAAATTATCATTTATGTACAAATGTTAGTATTTGGCTTATCTCGGGAATAACCTCATTTCATTGGTTTTCTTCAAAACTCTTTCCATTTTTATTAACATTTCTTGAATGCAATTATTAAATTATGCAGAAATCTCCGTAGCTAATTCGCTTGCTATCAAAAATGAACCCAATACATGGTAGTACACGTTCTGTAGTGTTGGATTTCCCCTAATCTTCCTCCTCCCCTGGCAATTCGCAGGGGCAATGGTGTGGACAGGGGAAGTACGGTAGTACATAAGGTGGGAAAGAAAGAGGAGCGGAGGAGAGGTGCGCAAACAGAGATACTGATTAGAACGCAGGACGAAGAAACGAAGAAACAGTTAGACAGGGATAGCGGTTCCCTCTCTCATATGTTCGATCAGCTGATCGGGGCCCGGGAGCGAAGGATATGAACAGCAGGGAGGCCGAATTAGTCCTGCTGTGTGCGTGCGTGCGAAGGAGCGGGGTGGGGAAGGGGAATGTAGGAGCGGGTGGGGAAGGATAAGAAGGAGCGTTCACAACGTGCGCGCGCAAATTCCAGAACACGAGCTGAGGAAGAGAGAGAGGGAGAGGAGGAGGGAGAGCAGGGGGTGGGGGCAGGAGCAAGGACGAAGGAGGCAGGAGGCGCGGCGCTGAGATTTCTCGGCAGAGAGAGAAACGGAGAGGGAGAGAGGCGGAGAAGTGCAGCGCTGCCGCAGCGAAGAAGTAGGTGAAGCGCAGGGAATAGCCTTGCTTACTTTGGATTTTTTGTTTTTGCGCCAAAACCTTTTTCGTACTAGTGTGTGTATTTGGGCACAGGACTCGTTTCAGTGCGAAAGAGAGGGGGTGCAGAGGAGTCCGATCGATCCGCATTCTGTTTATCTTTCGCTGCCTTCTCCTTTGGCCGTGATTTTGTCTTCTTGCCTTTTTGTTATATGTGTTTTTTAAGTCGCGTTCTGTTCGTTTTTCTCGTCTACAAACCGATTGTGAGAAATATTGTATCTTCGAGATACATTTCGTTACTTGACTTTCCGCCGTTGCGTGTCGTTCTTCTTTCATTTTTCATCTCACTTGCCTTTATGGCTGGCCCCACTAATTGATTCTCTGCATAAATTTTATTTAAAGCTTTAATAAATGTCAAAATAAGCAATTCATTTCGATGTTAGAGAACGCACACCCATATACTATACACGCTGCCCATTGTCCGTTGTCCGCAAAATGAAGCTCTCTCCCGGACAATCAATTGCCGGGTTCAGAGTTTAAATGTGAAAGAAAGCTGATGAAGAGGAAATCAACTGTCCATTACTGCTGAATGGGATCTGCTCCGAATGGGATCTCCATGGGTGGGTGTTGTGTCATCATGTGATTTGCGGTTGAGGAAGTTTTCGTAATCCACTCGGAGACCATGGCCCAGATTGTTTGATTAAAGCCTTAGAGTTCTTTTTAGGGACCAACAACCTTGGATGAGGGTATAAATATATGAAAATGAATAGGTTTAAGATTTATTGCGATTTTTTTACATAGACCGAATCATATTCAATGTCAAAGCATAGTTACTGCATATCAGCATATGTATGTATGTATCTTGGTCAAGTGTTGCAGACATGAAGTCATTGACCTAGGACGTTGGGGATATGCGTGATATAAGATTCTCCCTTAGCTCTGATAATCTAGGGCTGGCGGGTCGCGAGCTCCAAGTTCCGATTCTTGAAGCTGCTTGTTGATTTGACAGTGGTCTATGTAAATGCTTTGTGTAGCATTGTCGAATCATATCGTATGCAATATAGCAGCCTCAGGAAGTACTAATCAACGTTATTCTCCTCTTCCGTCGCTCTCAGTACACATTTTTAACGGCTGGGCGGTACAACAAAAGTTGGTATTGTGCGGCAACATCGGCGACCGGGGAATGTAGGAGGTTCGCTATGTAGACCAACATAAAGTCACTGTTCGAGGTCCCCTAATAAGCGAACAAAGTTCTTGACACGCTTTGATATGCCACATGTATTTCTATGCTCTTCAGAGGAGGTATCATAATTCTCAATGTGATTTCTAAAAATTCTCTTAAAATATGTTACCCAATATGAAAGGCTTTTATACAGTAAAACCCAAAGCTTGGATAATACGATTCAGATAATAACATTGCATAGGCAAATGTTGCTAAAAATAATATATATGTGCGTAATTTTTTTAAGAGTATCCCAGTTTCGATCCGCAGAACCTTCCTTGCTCTCATGTTTATTTGAATATTTTTATGAGTTGCGCGCATTTCAATTCGATTTTGATATGCCTGTCGCACATATCGGGGTTTCCAGGCCAGCTCAGGGTGATGCGAATATGAAGATTAGATTGGAATCCGAAGCGGCATAGGGCTCATCTGCCTGCCACATTGCTGCCAGGCGAAAGGAAAGCGTTGGATGCATTGAGACCCCATCAAAGAGCACACGCTGCGTGCCACTTGAGTTTCCCAGGCCTAGATCACTCCAATGTGATCTATTTTTGTACGTACTAGGTTTCCCACAGCACCCCCTCCCGACTTTCGGCTAGCTCGATATTGGCAAACACCATTAGTTTGTGTTTTACTGGCAATTTTCTATATAATTTGAATAGTAGCAGCGGCCGATCCTTTGTCCCGGTCAAGTGGATGCTCATTTACTCGGGACTCGGCACATGGCTGTTTCTTTCTTGCAACACCGCTCGGTTTTGTTTTCGCCAAATAGCAATTTGGGTCACAATGTGTGCAACGACAGACAACACACAACTAAAACAAGTGGCACACAATGAAACAGTTTCGATCTCCTCGCCGTCCGTCAATTGTCCTTCGGCCAGTGCAAAAACACTGTTGTTCTTGTCACATGCAATCGAAGCGATTTGGTTCCCACACAGCAGGCAATTTGGGATCTGTCCTTTTTCTCAGTTTTTTACGAGCCTCGGATGACTTCTCAAGTGGTTCGACTTTTTGGCGCGCAAATCTTTGGCTGTGCGGCCCAGATATAGGGGTTCTTAAAATAGCATCCATACCAACCTTCTCGCCCAGCGGAGAGATAAGAGTTTTGTGTAAATTATGATTGTCTCAAGGGGGCAATGATGCAATATTTAAGTTGTTTTTACTCTGCTTTTATTAGTACGATTAATGGTAACTGATATCTGGGTTTCTGAGATGAAGGTCAATATATTTGGATATACTTGCGATTGAGATATAACACAAAGAACAGACCCCCTGGTCATTCTTGATTGCTGAATCCCCTGCCATATAAGAAAACCCCTGCGTGTGATCTATTGCTCACCCCTTTGATGATGGTCAATATTTTATTTGTATATTAATATCAGCCACGCGACTGACCCACGAACTGACCACTGGCCGGCTAATTTTCCGGACCAGCCAATTTCCAGATAGCCTTGGGAAATGTCGGAAATTAATCAGGAAAAAGGATGCAGGCAACCCTTCGCTGGTGGCGAATCCTTTTTTACCCCGATCCCTATGCGTATGCACAGCATGTAATTAATTGATTAACGTTCTTAGGGATAGCATTATATATCCGGGATTGATGTGAGCCGATCTTATCGCCTTACAAACTGGAAGACTCAACACATTTGGCCCAACCCCTTTTGCCAACGCCGATTTGTTGTTTTTTCCTTGGCCTGTCCAGATCTGGGACAATGAATATGGGATAAGATGATGAGGGAGGGTTGGAGAAGTTCGGGCATCTCTGGCCGATCCGATCCACTCGAGAAAGCTGATCTCGATCTTCATCTCCATGTTTGCCTAATGCGCAGTTCTTGTGGTTCTCGGAAATAGTCGGGCTTTTGACAAATTCCCCATGACACGCGGAGAAATCAGTCAAAAAAATCATCTTAGGCATGTCCTGGTCCAGTGATTTTTCAATGTCTTGCCGAATTACACAGCACATTAGGCGACATCGATCTGCTCGTGGTTGTTGCATAATCGGAAAGCGGCATTTCCCCAGGCAGCTGCACCC